CTGGGGCCAGACCTTGTCAGTCAGCTGTCTGGCAGGGCATGGGTCATCACCCAGGAAATCGACCATGAGCGTCAGCACAACCAGATGGCGCTCGCGACTTGGTGGAGGAGCACAAGCTGGCAAGAGTTCCAGTTCCCGATGCTGGAGCACGAGCTGAAGAGCTCCTTGTTCGCCTTCGTCGCGCTCAAGGTATGGGCGAGAAACAGTCATGGAGTCCTACAGGAAGCTCCAACGTGCCCTGGCGAAGCCCTGGCCGAGGTGAAGAAGAATCCACGGTGCCTTCCCCATGGCCTCTGCATCCCCTGGTGATCCTCTTCGTGCTGGACAAGATGATGATGATGATGATGATGACGGACGTGAAGAGTTTGTGGAGGACCCTGAGACAGCGTAGTTACAGCAAAGGGAAGGACAAGCTGTATGGCTCCCCTGCACCGAGCCGATCGAGCAAACGCAAAGCTGCTGATGGATCCTCATGTTCATCAGACAAGACTACGTCCTAGCGACTGAAGATGTGGCAGGACATAGATTCCGGACTTCCGGAAGTGCTGCCCACTGAGCTCCTGGGATGGCTCATGCTGATGCGATGCAGTCTCTCCCCACAGCAGCGCTTGAACGTCCTGAGCGCTACTGGGAACTCCTTGAAAGCCGAGGACATCGAGCAGGCTCTACGTGGTGCTGAAGACGACCTCCGAGTTCAAGAATCTGAAGCCTGCGCGGAAAGGGCAAGGGACGCAACTATGCTAGTCCCAACTTCTGGACCGAGCAGGGTGGAGAATGGGGCCTACTGGCTTCTGAAGATGCTGATCTTCTTGAAGGCAACTTGGAAGATGAAGGACATCAATGCCGTCTATGCCTCCACTGTTGCCCATCCAGCTCTGAGCTTACCTGGACCTGATGAACCTCGCTGGACAGCTGCTGAGGAAGGATACTGGTTCCAGGATGTCAACGGGCAATTTTCCTTCTGGACTCAGCACACCGACGGTGAGTACTACACCCAAGATGCTGAAGGAGCCTATTGGACTTGGGATGAATTCCAAGAAGAAGCTGCCTGGTGGAATGCAACTCCCGAGCAACAAAAGGAGTTGTCAGATGCCTTTGCGGCCTATGATGCAAAGGTCAGAACCTTCATGGATTCCAGAGATCTCATGAAGTCAAAAGGCGCCAACCGTGGCTACTACAAGGGCAAGAATTTCAAGGGCAAGAAAGGCTTAGGGAAGCGCAAGAACAAGCCTTCGTCTGCTGCGGGACCATCTTCTGCAGCGGCCTTCCAAAGCCAGCCATCCGACGTTATGGCAAGTGTTGGCCAGGCTGGCTACACGGGATGCTTCATCTGTCCGAGCAAAGCCCACGACTTCCACTAATACCCAAACCGTGGACCGAAAGGTGGCAAGGGCAAACCTTCTGCGAAGGGCATCTACATGGTGAACGCCTTGGAAGATGCTGGTGGACCTTCTTCGTCTCGTCTATGGCGAGACCTTCAATGGCCATTGACGAGGTCCTGATGAGCCAGATCTCCAGCCCCGATCTTCAAGGTCATGCCGTGCTGGACTCTGGTCACCGAGACTGTGACCTCCCTTGCAGCGCTGGAAGCAATCCACCGCCGAAGGACAGAGTTGTTGGGGCACTCAGATCATGTTGAACTTGTTATATAAAGTTTTTAGATTTGGTAATGGGATGACACAGTCTTCAGAATCTTTGGTTTGTTTGAATGATTTGAAGCAACAAGTTGGAAACCATCAGATCAAGCTTGGAGCGTATACGATAGACGCCACAGGAGTCCCTCTTCTTTTGGGGATACGCACCCTTGAGCGTTTAGGTGCGGTTTTAGATACCAAGCAACGATATTTGGTTTTGAAAACGGTCGATCCGACCCTGATAGTTCCATTGAAGAGGTCTCCGACCGGACATCTTCTTTTGGATCTTTGTTCCAATTGGCTGGATGGTGGAGCCAAAATCCTGTTCCAGGTTCCAGACCGAAATTTCTCCCACGTCGGTCGAGGAAAAAGCTTTCAGTGTGGTCGGCTTCGATGGATGTTGGAAAGATGTTGAGGAAAAGGTTGAAGGTGATGAGGTGATCAGTTTCATGTCGTCAAGTTCAACACCTACAGCACCTCACTCGTGTGCAAACTTTGACATTGTTGCGCACACTTTCACCTACAACAGTCGAGCTGCAGTTGAAGATGTTTTTGTGATGTTTGATGGTAGCAGTCTGGTTCATGTTCATGAAGATGCAGTTCAATTTCAGAACATGACCATGTCCAGTGCCACCACCAACATGTCCAATTCAAGTTCGAGTGGATCCAGAACCTCAATGCTTGTTCCGTCTCAACTTCCAGCGGACCAAGACCAAGCGATGAGCTTGCGGATCCTAGCCCTACTGGACTGGCCTCAACCTCTCTTCTTGCTGTTCATGGCGCAGCCGACTGCCAAGGCAAAGAGCCCTCCTACGACAGCCTCCAAAGCTGCCACCAACTTCAAGTCCAAGGCGAAGATTCCTTGGGAAGCCAAGTTCGACGCCAGTCGGACAACGGGCCCGGGCACACGAGACCCACGGTGTGCCGGTGCGCCCTGTTACGGCAAGCATGTGATTGCAGCGCGGGCAGAGGCAGCCGCAACGGTCATGGCGTTTGGGAAGGGTGGAAAAGCCTTCTTCGACTTTCCTATACCCGGCTTAGGGAGCTCATGCGCTTCACCGCAAGAGCGGACCGTTGCCAGCCGACACGTCCGAAGGTGGGCCCGAACAATGCTGGGCACAACGAGAAGTTGAAAGATCGAAGCATTGCCCTGGATGCGGCGGAGACCTCTGCCGAGAAGAAACTCGAACAAGTGCGGGCAATGAAGGTAGAATGGCAGAAGCAGCAGAAGGAGGATGGCAAGAGCATGAATTCGACTGGGCCGTCCGAGGCGCCTCCAAGTCCAAGTCCAAGACCTCAGACTCCAATGCCCCAGAACTCCTAGGAGATGGGAACTACGCCTGGAAGAAAAACTCGGAAGCAAGAGCAACCTTCGGAGGACCTAGAGTACAAGAGCCGCTCCGGCCAATGTTGGAGCGTGGCGGGGACACTGCCAGCGGGCTCTCCGTGAACAAGTCCAACTATAAGGCCAAGGTCGGCTCAAAGTTCCACGTTCTGAACTATGAGGGCACGGCGATCATCCAGGATGATGACATGGCCAAGTATGACTTCAACATGGACGTTGAAGATTCGTATATGGAGAACGTCACCTATGACCAGCTGGACACCTCCGACAAGGACATGCTGAATGAGGCTTTGCACTTTCACCACGAAGAATTGGAGGAGTGTTTTCATAGCCTTCGATCTCCTGAAGATCATCCATGGCATTTGGATTTGATGGAATTGTGCTGCGAGAAGGACAGCCTCCTGAGCGCCTACAGGGAGAAGTCCGGTGGCACGGCATTTCGTGCTGGTTTGCACAATGGCTTCGTGACGGAGCACGGCACAGAACGAGCAATTGCAGCAGTTCGCAAACTGCGGCACAAACTTTTGCGGGTAAGTTTTTCCCTGCGGACCCACATCTCCAATTCAAGCTTTGGATGAACTGACTGAAGAAGGAAGGAAAAGAGCAGAGAAAGGATTCGTCGCTCTAGAAAGCTTGTGAGAAATGGTATCCGTGTGATGTAAGCTCAAGTTTTGGCTGGTGGACAAATCGTCCAAGATTTGCCCCCCTACAACAAGGCCTGGAATTTCCCAGAAATGATTGACTTCTGGCAAGCACTTCATTTTCTTGATCGATGCGAACATGTGCAACTGCATGGATGTTGATGTTGCTATGGTCTTCAAATTCCGCAAGGCTTTCTCAAGAAGCCCTGGCGTTTGAGATGCTCCAAGCTGGTGCCTACAGTTCTTTGCCATTCAAAGGCCTGGACATCACCAACATGTTCCAAATATGGGCGACGATCGTGCCAGACGTTCGGCGCTCTATACGCCGAGACTTGCGAAGCAGTTTGTCATGCCTACCATCAAGATCAACGAGCTGGCTCAATTTTTGGGGCCATGGATGTTCAAGTTGGTCGAGAAGGCCTCAAGCTGATGACAGACCAAGAGTTGCAGCACTTGGCCCAGAGCGTCCTCAAGCTTCATTGTCTTTGCAGTCATCCAAGCAAAAGAGCTTTGATGAAGACTCTAGCTGGAAGAGGAGCTGACGGCCGAACCCTTGCAGTTGCGGAGAAGCTCAACTGCCAAGAATGTCTTAAAGGTCAAATGACCAAGCCCTCTGTGAAAGTCGCCCTGGAGAAGGAGGAGACTTTGTGGCGAACCCTGCAGATGGACACCTTCTACTTCAAGTTTGGTGACCAGGTTCATCACTTTTTTCTCATGCTGGATGAGGCAAGTGGCTTTTCAGTGGTGAAACTATTCTCAGTTCACAATGAATAGGACCATGAAAACTTCCCTGCAGCAGCTGAAGCACTGCAGATTTTGCAGCAGTGCTGGTTCCAATACTTTGGGATGCCCCATCGCATCCGCTGCGATTTGGAAGGCGCCTTAGAGGCAAGTTGCTGGAAACTTTCTGCAAAGAGCGCGGCATCGAGCTGACTTTTTGCCCTGCCGAGCAACATGAAATCATCGGTGATGTGGAACGATCGGTGGGCGAGCTCAAGAAGAAGATGGCTGCCTATCTTCGACAAGAAGCAGAAGCTTCACCAGCCGATGCTGCAGCAGAAATGTGTGGTGCTCACAGCCGCTTCGCACGAGTTGTGGGCTTTTGGCCGAGATGTAGATGAGCGAGGCAATTTGGCATTGGCTACAGCGCTCAAGGTGACCCAACTTCTGAGATGCACCACAGTCTTCAAGTTCGGCTTCGTGCAGAAGGTCGCTACAGAGAGCTCCAAGCCCAAGCCAAGATCTCACGAGCTCTGAATGCCAAGGTCCAGAAATCAACTCGGTTTATTCCTGGCGACTTGGTCTACTACAAGCGCTTCAAAACACCAGCAGACACTCCTGCTCATGCTCTCCTTGACACACCCAACATGAAAGTGTCAAGATGGTTTGGACCTGGACGTGTTTTGGCGTCCGAAACCCGTGTGCTGGATGAAGGAGCAACAAGTGCACCTTCCAACATTGTGTGGATCATCACACACAAGGTCGCCTAAAGAAGACTCATTCGAGTCAACTGCGACACGCAGCGAACGGGAGAAGCTGATTGCAGAGGCTACCGAAGCCCCTACACTTCCTTGGACTCTCACATCCCCTGGGAAGAACTTTGCAGAAGGGTGAGTATGAGAATTTGACAAAAGAGCCTCCGAGGCGTGGACGCCCTCCTGGATCTCAACAAGCCCAAGATCAAGGTCCCACGACTTTCAGCGGAAGCTACTTCCTCAGGTCAACCATCTCAACCTGCAAACCTTCCAGAACCTGTCCAACCTGACGTGATCGACTCCCATGAAGAGCTGATGCCTGATGATGATCTACATGTTCAAGTTCAACCTGGTGCTGTTGGACCTCAACCTCCTGATGAAGTTCCTGAAGAAGAGATGGGACCTCCTGATGTCAATGTGGATCGACTTCTGGTGGACCCAACCTCCTTTCCCATGCGGATGATGGAAGCGGAAGAGCTGAAACGGCGAAGGATTGAGTTCGCCAACCAACGGCGATCACATGAACTTGCTGATCGACCTCTACATGTGATGCGACAGCTTGGTCGTCCTGAACCTGCACCTGATGCCTCCAACTACTGGGTCATCGATGAGAAAGAGGATGATGTTTTTGGTGTCATCATCGACATGCCCAGTGATGAATCTGAATGGAAAAAGGCGCTGAAGAACCCAGCCAAGTTCGCAGCCAAGGCAGTTTCAAAAGGAGCTGAAGTTGCGTGGCACAAGCTCAACGCCACACAGAGAGCTGCAATGGCAGAAGCAAAGCAATTGGAAGCTTCTTAATGGGTTCAACAAAAGGTGTGTGAACGCTTCAGAGGCGTCATTCTGGGCAATCGCTTGATGCGAACCCGATGGGTCCTGGTTTGCAAAGCAGTTGATGATGATGAGACAAAGGTGAAATGTAAGGCAAGGATCGCGCTGTTGTGCTTCACAGATCCCGACCTTGGATCTTTGGAGACATCTGCCCCAACTCTGTCACGCCGATCCCGCCAACTCTGCCTTTCGCTGTCAACTTTGAGACGTTGGAAAACTTACAAGGCTGATGCCAAGCCTGCGTTTCTTCAAGGCCGACAGACCCAGAAACACCGTGATATTTTCATCACACCGGTTTCTGAGTTGGCTTAAGCTCTTGGAACCCCACCTAAAAGCTGCATATGGTTTGGTTTCTGCCCCTCGTGAGAGGTTTGGCGAAGTGGATGAGGTGGCCTCTAACAAGTTCGACATGCGACGGCTCAAGGCTGACCCTTGTACTTCGATCAAATTGGATCCCTAGTCTGGCCGAACCATTGGCTACATCGCCAGCCATGTGGACGACTTCCTAGCCGCTGGAGAATGGAGCAATCCAGATTGGGTCAGGACCATGGAAATCTTCAAGCTGTCTTTAGTTTGGAGCCCATGGGAAGAGCAGGCCCACACCTGCGTTGGAACAGAATACTGACTACCAGTTTCACGTTCAACCACAGCAACTACGTGGAGCAGATCAACCAGATCACCATAAACAAAGAGGAGAACATCACCAAGGAGGAGATGACTCAAGCCCGAGCAGTTTTGGGAGCAATCCAACGGAGAGCGATCCAAAGCGGACCTCAACATTCCGCAAAGCTTCCCGTTCGCAGAGTGCTTTGCCTCGTGGATCCAAGGACATCTTGCACCAGATCAACAAATTTTGCCGCGAAGTCCACGCTCAACGGTTTCAGTCCACTGCCATCAAGAACTTAGGCATTCGAGGTGATGAGGACGTTGCTTTTTGCTTGCTGGACTGATGTTGCAGTTGGCAATCGCCCTGGTATGTCATCGACAGGTGGCTACATGTTTGCCATGGTGGACGCGGCGTTTCTCCGTGGACAGAAAGGGATTGCCAACCCCATCTCATGGAGGAGCGGCAAACTCCAGCGTGTTGCCAAATCTTCCCTCTCTGCTGAGATTCAGGCCCTTGGGGATGGAGAACAAGAATTGATGTTCGTCCGTGCTGAGTGGGCCGAGCTGGTTGGAAGGAGCTGAACCTTCGAAAGCCTGAAGAGGCAACTTCAAAGATCGCTGGTGCGTGCATCATCGACACCAAGTCGGTCTACGATGCCTTCTACAAAGGCGAATGTGCAAGCTCTGGTATTTCCCTGAAGGAGAAGCATGCGGCTTTGGATCTCCTGGCCATCACCGAGAAACTTCGAAGGCAAAACACTGCCTTACTGTGGGTGGCTTCTGGTGCGCAATTGGCCGACGGCCTTACCAAAGCTGCAGCTGCCGAAGCTCTACTTTACTTTCCACAGCGAGGGCAGCTCCGGGTGGTGAAGAAGGACCCTGAGTTCATAGCTGCAAAGAAGAAGGCAAAACGCCTTGTAGGAACAGCATATCTGAAATTGCCAGATCTCACGTGGCAAAACAACTGATTGCCCGACATGACCCCACCACTAACAGTGAAAATCTTGGGGGCATGTCAGTGTTCCTGGTTCAGCCTCGTGATGCGTTCACTTCTCATGGTGGAGCATGTCACAACATTGCACGTAACTGTGGTTCTTTTGGCTCAAGGGAACCCTTTGGTCATGTTTGGATTTATGTGGGTGCCGCATTTACAGGGGATGGCAATATGAGTGGCAAACTCACAGTGGCATACGTTCACCAGGAACACTGACATGCCCCCAAGATTTTCACTGTTAGTGGTGGGGTCATGTCGGGCAATCAGTTGTTTTGCCACGTGAGATCTGGCAATTTCAGATATGCTGTTCCTACAAGGCGTTTTGCCTTCTTCTTTGCAGCTATGAACTCAGAGTCCACATAGGTGAAGCCTTGGTTACTGTTTACCCCTGGCGCCACTGAAAGCAGTGGTCAATCCTTTGCGACCCGTGCGGCGCGCGCACCATTCGTTCAGATTGGCTGGAAAACAGGTGTGTCTGCAATCGAGAAATGTAACAAGTTTCGCTGATCATTGGCCTCCACGTCAACACCAACCAGTTTTGAGGGCGCTGCCAGTGTCGCAAAGACAGAGAGCGCCCCTGTCTGGTTTTGGACTGCCTGAATCATGGTGCGAATGAACCAAACAAGGCACCCCAACCACCCTACATGCATGCATACATACATGCATGCATGCATACGTACCTACATGCATGCATACATGCATGCATGCATGCATACATACGTACCTACATGCATGCATGCATGCATGCATACATACGTACCTACATGCATGCATGCATGCATGCATACATACGTACCTACATGCATGCATACATACATGCATGCATGCATGCATACATACGTACCTACATGCATGCATACATACATGCATGCATGCATACATATGCATTGCTGCCGCCTACGCCACTCTTTTGGGTCAATGATGACCAAACCATCCCATTGTGGAGGACAACCTTGTGGTTGCACGAGGATACCATACAGTGGCTAGCTGAGACAGGAGAGTCGTACCCACTTGAATTGGGAGATGAAATTCAGCCTCGCCTTGACCAGCTCAAACCCTCTCAGCCTGCTAAGCGCTCACAACCTCCGGCTCCACCTAAACCAACTAGGTGGACGGAACGAACCGCAGAAAAACAGTCTGTGCAAGCACCGCAAGAAGCTACTCTGCAGGACCCGAAGGGAACTCAGAACACGCCGCAGCAAGTGGCTGATCGAGAACGGCAATATATGGAATTACAATATATTTTTGCTCAAGCAAACCAACGAACGCTGGCAGACAGCCGACCAGCGCATTCCAACCAGACCCAAAAACCAGCTAACTTGCTGGCCGCAAGTCAGCAAAGCACAGAAGAAGCTGCAACCACCGTGCTATCCAAATCCAACACAGATGCGGCGGCTGCGGCTCCAGCTCACCAAGAGAGTCACCGGCCCCCTAAGGTCAGTGCACAATCATTATTCAGCCAAAGACCAGGTCCGCCATCGCTACCACCCGCGAGCAATTTAAAGGCGGATACCCCGGGTACCGGTGCGTTATCCTCCGACTCTCGCTCCGCAGCACACAACAGAGCTGAAGAGCAGCAGCAGCCTCAAAAGGAGCAACCCATGGATGACAACGAGACACCGACAGAAGAATCTCCGCCTGTTGACACACCCAATGAATCGCCAAACACGCAAGCCACTGCTACTGTTGTTGCTAGCAGCCCAGAACCTGCTAGTGAAGCCGACCAGGAAGTTGACCTCCTTGCAGCGGACATTCCTACATTGCAGAACCTGCAGAGGGCAGCCTGTGAGAAAGTGACGTATCATGAAACGCGACTTGCCAGTGCCCGCCAAAATCTATATCGTATCACGAAACGCCTTAAGACAATACAAGATGGCCAGGCACCAGATACTCCGCAGGCTTCGCCAGTGGCAGATATAGTAATGGAAATCATTGACTGAGTGAATCTGCAGCCAGCTAGCACGGAGTGCACATGACTGTGTTGAAATCACCTGATCAATGCTGTCTTCAGCCGCCGCCTACCCCACAGATGCGCCAAGAGAAAAGCAGCTGCGTGCCAGAGTGTTACCCCCCGAACTTTTAGACTTTATGGGAGCGTACCCACTCAAATTTGACCCCCACAAGCCAGAGTTAGGGGATCGTTACTTGGGTATTCTTGTTGTGTTGGTCAGGCGTATGTCCCAGGTCCTGTCGTCTTTGTTCATCTGAGCTCCATTGGTACTCACCCCTATTTTGTTTGATGGGATTGCATCTGACACCTATACTGGGATAATGTGTCTTCACTGCAGCTTTTGCGGCTCTACTAGTTTCTATAGCTAGGTCAGCCATAAGCCACTCAATTCGCATCTCAAGGTGATAGACAAGCCTCGATTGTTTTGGTTTCTTTCAACTCCACTCGAATTGGCTCTGCAACGAGAAACCCCGACCCCGGGTACCGGGTGTTCGGGGTCTCCCTAACTTTGCTAATTCATTGGACACATTTTGACCTCTACCGCCTTGACAGTATTCACTAGTCCTGTTGTTCACTGGGAACCTGACACCGGGTACCGGTTGTTCAGGGTTGCACCCACGCCAGCATGCTACAACAGCTCATGACACCAAATAGGTTCATTTCATTGGCGGTCCAGCGTGACCACTCAACATGGCACGTGCGGCAAGTAATTTGCAATATGTTTCTCTCCTCTGGGCCGCTGGTGCATTGCCAAAGGTATAAGCAAGTTCGGCACTGTGCGCATACCCAAGCACATGTACCTTTTTGATTGTATTCGTAGCAGCATTGAATGAAACATTCACCATGATGTTGGCAGCCAAATCGTTCTTTGTGCGGACAGCGGGGCGGGTGTGAGACATGTTCATAAAGATGTACAATAGGCACCAACTGTCGCATGTACAAGCCGCCCTGCTCAAAGTTTTACAGCATGAACGAGATTTGAGCAAATTTCACCTTGTGCAAGGAAACAAGCCGCCGTTTGAAGGCGAACTGCGGGAGGTTCTGGGTTGTAGGTGGGTTTGCGTTGATGCAGTTTTTGATTGTAAAGTTTAACCCCGTTATTGGCAGTGAATATGGAGCACGGCTAAACAAGCAGCCATCTTCCTCCCTGGGTGTCAAGGACCACTTCCTTCAGGGGGGATATATGCCAAATTTTATTTGATTGGATGTGAACATTGGGGCGCTGCAGTGTGGTGCATAGCACGGGCGTTTATTGTAAGGAGCGATGAAGCGCATGCAGACACAAAGACATTCAAGTGACTTTGGCCACAGACTCTTTTTCATATGCGACCGGGTTTGGGTTTTTAGCCGCTAGCCTTCGTTTTGGAGCCCCAAAGCACAGGACATGTTTTGGTATTTTTGGTTTGATTTGAGCTGGGCCAGGCCGGCTCATTGCAATCACAATCACAGCCTGTCCAATGGCCCTGTAGGGAACATTTCTTGTGGGATGCGTGGAAGTTTCGGTTGCCATTGGCGATCAGCACCAGGCGATGTTGATTTGATGCGATATCACGATAGGGCGTGAAGTGACTTGGAAGGCACGAAGTGGCGGAATGAGTGGGGTGAGCCAGTCATGACTATTGAGCTGCAGTTTCGGGCAATTTGTACGCGTCATCGTCATCCTCATTTGAAAAGATGGGCTGCAAACAATATGGACGGTTCTTGCGGGGTTATGGGTCTTTATATTCTTGAAAGCCAGGGCCAGCCATTGTGACAGGGCATTTGCTGAGGCCGTCACATCGTTTTTGGGTCAGCTCATCTGTGACTTCAAACCACCGCGTCACCTTTGAGATGACAATGATGGTAGGGATGGAAGAGCCGCTATTCATTCCAATTCATTCCCTGCCGTGCTCAGGTTGCGGAGCAGTCCTGAGATGAGCAGGTTTGCTTTGCAGTCGCGCGGAAGGCTTGCAGGCCCAACGGGAAACAAGTCCTGATTCCTGATCCCCGAGCGTGTCAGAATCAGGTCATTTGTTTGTTCCGGGGGTGCCCCATGCCCGCTGCCTCATTTGGGCTTGGTATGATCTAGCTGCTTTTTGGGGACTGACATATTCTTGGCTTACAATCGCGGAGCCGTATTCCAATGATTGCGAGGGCAGCCCCCTTGTTTAGAAGGTTGGCGGTCAGACTTGGCACAGACGAAACTTGATGCGAATCTGAAGGGTTGGCGGGATTGTTTGGGACAACCATTCCTAAGACTCCTAAGACGTGTGCATCTTAGGAATTTCATTTTACTATCAGAATCATTCCATGGGCGAGTGGTACCTTGGGCTCACTTTTTAGGCCTTGACCGTTGCTAGCCCGTCAATGATTTGCGTGAACTTGGCTTGGTCATGCCTAGAATGCATGAGGGAGCAAATCCTATTCTTACCAGCCTTTAACAAGTGAGGCGCCGGTATTCTGACTAGGGACTTCATGGCTCAAGGATTCTTATGAAGTCTTGATTGGGCTGCAGCATATAGTGCGTTAGCTTTGGAAAATCAACCCAACTCCTACACGCAATTTCTTTCTGGCACACTTGTAGGAACCCATATTCTTATGGAAATAGGCGTCCGCAGAAAGTCGCAGCCGTCCGAAAGCTCATGACCAAGCTTGCCTTGCACCTTTCGCAATTCTTCTGGCAGCTTTCGGGCGAAGTCCTGAGGGTTGCCGCAAGCGTTGTTGCGGCTTGTTGCCAAGATCCGCCAAAAGGTGCGCCCTTCTAAATTTCAAAACAGCACGAGGCCCCAACAGCATATCATAGTCGGTCGATCTTGGCATAGGCACAGCCAGGTACAAATACGGCAAGTGCAGCGCACAAAAGGAAATTTGCTTGAGGCCGCCCTCGGAACCATATGAATAACTCTGAGAAGGGCCCAGGAGGGACCATTTAGGCAGCGTCTTTGTGTTTCTTAGAAGCATCTTCGATGCTTGGGTATTTCCATGAGCGAGCGTGGGCGAACAGAGAGCGTGGACAGCAGGGAGTGGAAGGTGTTCGGGGGCAT